CGAATCTATTTTGAAGTTGTGAATACTTGATGTTGGTGTTTACGGAGCTTCAGTAATTGCCACTGACAAAAAGCTTATTTTTGCGCATTTGCCCTATGTGATACTTTACAGATAATTCAGTTTCCAATTAAAATAACTAATAGGCGTAAGAGTCCAATAAATTATATTTTGTTACACTAAATGAACAAAGAATAAGTTTTACAGAAAAAAACGAGTTATACAACAGAGTGAAACGACAAATAATCTCTAATTTAATCGAGTAGTCATAGAATTACGACACGACGCATGTGTTAATCATCTTTCATCCATACTTGGTTTAAACATATGCCTACTTACGTCATAATTCGATGTAGCTCCTAGATGCTAGAGCAGATGCCAATGATTAACTGAGAAGCAGAGGCAATATAAATACTATGCGGCCAGCAATTTATCTCCGATTCCGACACAGAATCTAACCGCTCTAGCTGGACTTTTAATAACCCACGATATGAAGCAATTCGGCAACGCAGATAGTCATAAATCCATATCTAACTATGATCAAAACCACCAACGGAGCATGCGCCGCTAATTTGGAATATTTGCTGTGATGGAGGGTGTCCTGATGGCGGGACTGCCCCGGGGAACCACGAGCCCCGAATTTTTTGGAGGGAAAAAATACTCGTCTCTTTTCGTCCACTTTACCCATGCAAACCTACTTTGTCCATGTGTCTTTACAAATCAGCTGATTTGCTGAATATCTGAGAGTCTTAAGTTTAGTTACGGAACTGTCTAATATTTTAGAATGATCTAAAATTGATTGGGGAATTTGGCTGCTAGGACTCAGTAAACATAAGGATACACTTAAAATTTCAAGTTCCTAAATGAATCCAAGAAAGGTAGTAGAGTCGCCAACTATGAATTGCCAAGAAATGTGACCAAATGTTCTCACGCTATTACATTCACAGCGTTGTCATTGCCATGACACACAATTCTTAAGGAATTTCAGGAATCCATCAGCTCTTCTGAACATTGGTAAAAATTAAACAGGTACTTTGATATGTGTTGGTTTCATTAGGATTGGAAAATATACACAGTAATTTAATAACAAGTCTGTATTAGTTACCATCGTCAATTAATCGTTAAGTTTTTATGCACTAAAGCAGTTTGGGTACTCTTTTAGTTAGGTTTACTACTTTAACTGATAATACTGTATGTACTATGTTTTTTTGAAATCCCGTTGAACATTCCTCTGAACAACTTCTATTGCATTTTTAAATATTGATACTGGATTCGTACACAAATTAGCGTATCCAAGAACCTCAAAACTAAAAATTAAAACTTCTGAAATATAACCTAAAACAAAACAGGTATTTACACAATACATTTATACTAATGTAACATAATTATCCGTTAACACGTCTTTACATTACAAACTATTTCACATTTCCTGTAACTTTACACGATAACTACCAATCTCTGTGGTGTGAACGAGACATTAGATAAATCAACAGCCACAGCGAAGATTTACAGACAACTCCGCCGAAGATATCTCTCACAGGATCGCATTAAACCGTAACAGTTAGGTTGTATCTGCAAACTGCTCCAACACCTCTACCGTATCTTCATCTGGCTGAGGATCATTTGTATTTACCAACAATCTCCATCCGTATGTGTCAAAACGGGTAAACACCTCGGCAGATGCGATGAAGATACGTAGCCTATGCGGTCATTTACATAAATGATAAACGGCTCGTGCCTCATGGAATGGCAATATTTGTTCTGGCTTGTTTGGCTTTATTTAGCTTGTTGGAGAAGAATGAGAAGATTATTGTTTGACATTTTAATAATCGTTTAATTCGAAACTGTCAAGACAGATTACGTTGGGCATTGATTAGCCAAGCTCCACGTGTACTATACACAGGCTATTTACGATGATTGAAACAGTTCTCATCAAAGTTTAGAATTTGAAGAAACAACATAACTACGTTTAATAAATAGTTATATTTCAAGCGTCTTGCGAAATGAGATAGGCCTAATAAGTACACCAGATTAGTATGACATATTTAATTTTCCAGCTGCTTTAGGGTTCACACTTGTTACACGTAATTGATTTTTAATAAAAATGGAGTATCCAATTAACTGTCCTAAAAACCTCTTAAATGTTTGGATTGAAAAATTTGCAAAATCTCTTCTAATTTCTTCGTTTTATTTTGTTGAATATTACTGGGTAAAGTAAAGAATCAAGAGATACAAAGTTTTAAGGTTACAAGCCTTAATCCTAATCCTAGAGAAAAGTATGAACTCTATCTTAGATCCGCATTAAGCCTAGTAGGCTTATAATATTTGTAATGTTTATACTTTGTATGTTTGGTGATCTTGATTAACTCTGCATTTACCCTCCAACGGGTTAACCAATCGAGCTAACTAACCGAGGTGGTGTAAAATATCAATGCTGAAGAGTTATTAGTTGCAGCATCGGAATGTAAACCGAAGGTAAATCTATCCTGTTTCGAAGTCCACTTAGTTACCGACTTAGCCAAACTGAAAACTGAATCCACAAGATGTGACATAATTAAAGGGGGATTATGCTGAACTCTATAAAAAATGCAACTCGCCTACTCCGAGTGCCACCTATATCAAAGGCAATAGCCACACCGACAAAACTCTTTTACTTCGACATGTCATGAGCATCATTTTCTCTGGCTCAACCCTCTAGACAATCTACATGTATGACTTTACCTGGTCCCACATTCCCTGTTTTGGTTTTTCATAAGCTTTCCTTCCTTCAAGATTTAATTTTAGTTAGTTTTAGTTAGTTAATTACACCAAGATTCTTCTTCTCTGCTCGGTACGCACGCAGAACATCATATTCTTCAACATCTCGTTAAAATGTCTGCACTATTTACATTGGTAACCTATATCTTTATGTTTTCTACTCTTTTCGATACGACGTTGGTACGAATGCCTTCCTTACACTTTGTTTAGAAGATTATTAGCTCAATTTGGACTCAAGATTCTTATAGACCTACTTACTTTTCGACCGCCGGTGTCTCTGCACAGAAGGCACGAGCTACGGTACCGCGGACACTGGTCGTTATTAATGCCAGCAACACATTGGATGGAAATGTGGCCATAAGGGTTTAGCATATCGCTTTGTTTGCAGTGGCTAACTACCATATCAGGCGCATGATCCCGTTTGCCTATGATAATTCTAGGCGGCGCGCATACCGACACCTACAGGCCCGCACTGACGATAACTGTTCCTGCAATGCGCCCGGTTTGATTGGGTCGGAAGTAAAAAAATATATAACATAACTGTTGTGGTTGTTGTTTTCATTAGGGTAACACCACTAAAAGTTGTGAATGTACAACTTAACTGGTTTTATTTGCCATTGGGCTATCAAATAACCTGGTAAACTAATGGATGGATGGATGACTAACAAAAGAATGACGTGACAATGTTAAGGTGAATGTTATAATGACAGAAGGTTTGCCAGTCCAAGCCTGAGTAAATTCGGTAACTTTTTGATGGTTCGTAACTAGACGCAGCTGTCATGGATTTTTGGGCTTTTGAAAACCAATCTTGGCTGAAGACCACTGGTCTTGCTCAGTAACAAAAGCTATCATCTCATCATTTCAACACTTGTCTGTCATCTTAGCCTTAAAATATGCAACTTGACGTGTCGGCGTTGTACAATTTTAAGATAATATATAATATAATAACAGGTGCAACATTTTTCCATCGGTGACACTGATAGCCTCAAGAAGGGACAAATACTATCACTTCGAAGCAGTAAATGCCTGATTTTATGCCACATCAACTAACAGGAACCAGAGCTTAATTAGAAAATTTTAAACAGAGGCACACTGTTTGAGTAGCATTTTGGATAGCTCATCGATACAGCTGGCCCATATAGATGGTATGTCTACTTCAGTATCAAAGTCAATGATAAAACACATCTAAATGATCGAATAAACAAAACCACGTACCATCTATGGCAGACGTCTGGCTAGTTTGGAATGTGACAAGGGAAGTAAAACTCGATACCAAGGTCCGGGAAGTCACGAGCGCGAGAAGCTTGAGGCTGGGCATGAGACAGGTTTATGGTCATGTCGAGACCACAGTTGTGTATCGCGGGACATCATGTACAGTTGGACGTAATAGATACCATATGGAGCAAAGGGGCGACCCATCAGGGCGATGCGGGGGTGGAGATGGAACTTCACCGGCGAAACTTGGAGGTCCGCTAGAAAATATGGCCGGATTCTGTCTAGGTTTGGTCGTTGAATTTTCACATGGTAGCAATCGAGAAATGATTTGAATCTTTGGTTAGCTTTAGACAATCTATGGACTTTGATTATTGTTCGAAATGGCACGACTAATTAAGCTATAAAAGGGTATTTAATTAATTCTGCATCCACTTAAATTTCCAAGTAAGTTTGTCTAGGAGGACAGGAATTGATGTGATGTAAATAGAGCCAATTACTAACTTCTAAATAAGTTTGTTGAAGGTGTCAAATAGAATTTATGTAGCCACGTTCTAAAAAAACTGATCGATGAATTTATTAGATTTACAGGGCATGGTAGGGTAAGCATGAGGTTTTTGAAGATATAAAACAGAATGGTTACGTTCTTTCGCGGTATTTTTAAGTTTTTCTTATAAACAGGTGCCAAACTAACTGTCCTAATACACATTGCTGCATCGATGTACGCATGATGGGCGCATTTTCTGATATAGGCTCAAACAATGAACCTTGTCCAAAGATTTTACTCAATATGTCATACCATTTACCGAACACAGCAATGTACTAATATTAGACTCGATAAATCATTAGTAGTGTGATTAAAAAACACTGTAAGGCGCTTAAGATAATTTTTTTAACGTCCAACAATAACATTGTGTTGAGCCAACTGAAGAAACAAAACTGAATCGATTAGACGGAAAAAACCAGTAGAAAGGAACGATTGTATCTCAATTGTTATCGAGAAACGTTTACGATTTTTATACTCGGAAACTGACCAAGGGGAATCCAGCGTTGAGACGAGTGGACAGAAGCGGCGACTCACATAGAGAACCTCTCTGTGGGCCTTCTTGGTAACAATTGTCAAGACTTGCCATTCAATGGTTTACGGTGTTGTTGCTAACTATTATTGAGCAAAAACTAATGTGAAGCGATTTATATTAAACGCTTGAGCTGTTTTGTTGAATTGAAACTACGCCACAAAAATCAGGAAGGAGAATTTGTTCCCAAGAATAAACGTATTGTGTCTTCCAAGTTAATATTCAAATAGGTGTCTGAATTGTATGCAAAACTAAACGCTTAAAATATAAAATAAAACGTTTCAATAGAATTAAGTATTATTCTAGGAATAAAATATATATAGCCCTACCCAATTTTTACCTAATTTTCCAACACTAACCTTTAAATAACCTTTGAAACCATATTCTTGATGTTTAAAAGTTGAACCACCTTTCACCTTCACCCATTCATCAATAAATCGTGTTTCATTATTTTTATTGAACTTTATTTACCGACCTTTTTCTGCCAATCGCTCTCGATGCAGCATTCGCGGTCTCCATTACATTATCGAAGTTCCATTCCAGTCCAGATGCGCGATACGTGGGCACTGAGGAATGGCACTGGACACACGTCCATCTTGTATGGAGGTCGCCAAGCAGAAAGTCTTGTATACTAATTGCCACATGTTAACGGGACGACCTTGCTCCTGGATTAGGGTCGACAAGTCGGTGACGGACGATGATGAGGTGGAGAAGGTGTCCGAGGCATCCGAGCCATCTCTGCTGCCACCTCACACCTTGCGTCTAATAAGACGCCTTCAATGTTAGCTGTCTACTACGGCCTCCTTCATACTACTTTCAGCTATGTGATCCAACTGGGGGACATTCATGTCATCCAAAAATGTTTTCCGCTGGCAAAACAAGGCGACAAGACTCCTTGACAATTTGATCGTCAATCGTGTAAAGTAAGTTTTCAGAAATTGAAAGTCTTAAACATACCATCTTAATTAACTTCTCTATTTCGTCTAAAACAAAATATCAATTCCTTTGCTCATCGAAATGCTCACTGTGACCACCTCACTAGATATACACAACCTTGAAACTTCAAGTGTAAAGCTTTCAAAGCCCTAGGTCATGTTTACCGTCGACTCACGCTGTACACTAAACTCTTTTTAGCTGTAAGAAAGTCGCCATTTTATAGAGTTGAGAAACCTGCGTATAATCTTTTAAAGAACTAATTCTACTCCTCGGTAGCAGACTACCATATAGACGATCTCTTCTCTAATGATCTGTTAATCTAGTCTGACCTAATGTCTTTGCTAAAATTTTGTCACAGTTACACATTTTATTGTCATTATTCTTTTTATCTAGATTTTAATGTTCTATGTTTCTTTGAGTGTATTCAATATTTTGCTTTACTCGTCACCAAATTGCGTTTTACTGATATACTAAAAGGAATGAAGCGTACATTTTATCTTCTGAAACTTACAGTTCTCGCCCCAAACAAACTATCCAGCAACCTACATATACCGTGTACAGTGTATTGATAGAGAGCTACAAAGTAACAATACATAAAGCCCACCCCCTTCCCCAGACTTTACAGATTTTACCCCACCCAACGAAAAAACAATGGCGAGATTAACACGAAAGATGAGTCGAAACAAGATGCTAAGTCAGAAGATAAAAAGTAGCATATTCACACCAGAGGGCGGGACAGGGTCATCAGTTACAACTGACCTTACCGTAGAATGAGGAGAATAGCCACTGGGCACTCTGGCCATACCGGTATAGCATCATCACACGCACAACAGCCTGGTTATATGTTGTGCTCAGGCAGCAACCGTTCAAACAATATTTTAACATTGTACGGTCAAAGCCGAGTCGATAGAAGCTTCATATTGTTAGGCCACATTTTATGAACAATTAAAATTTGCAAAGTGAAGCTAAGATATATTTTAGTGGCTTGTAGTTTCAAAGTGTAGACCAAATAAACACTTTTACAGTAGCCTACATAAATGTTACAGTTTAGAACTACTGTACTGGCTCAACTCGTTCACCGACTCAATAGATCTTCGACTCAGGTTGAACGAATATGGACCGACGACAACAAACACCGGTCTTGACCGATACTTGGCCTTACAGTTGTAATGAACCAGTGAACCTGTTGTACGACTCAGTTGAATGGAGGAGGATCCAGCCACTATCTAAATTACACACGGCTCTAATGACAGCTTCCTCATCATTTGCCTTCTGGGTCATCGTACGAATACATTATGATGCATGAACCACAGGTTATTTAAGCCTACACGTTGTTTCCTGTTCCAAATTAGGGATTCTTTCAACATTATTTTGTAACAGTTTAGTAACGCTGCGGTGATTGTTGGTTGTTATTTTCGTGTTTTAATGACAAACTAAGGTCATAAGTTGGTAGCCCTGTATCCTTTGCTTCATTGCCGATCAGCTGGTATGCATTGTTGCATTGCTTTCTACACGGTTTAGTGTTACAGGGAATTAATTGTGAATAATACCCAACATGGTGTTTTCGAAAGCTCAAACAGCATGCATCGCATGTCTACCAAAAAACTATTTTTGTTTTCTACAAATCTGGATTCCATAAATGTATATCGAGTCTACGAATATTTAATTTATTTAAGACTGGAATCATACCTGGAAACATTATTTCTAACCTTTCTTTGGCAGGAAACCACTGATTTAATTTTAATGTAGGTACTCTTCTCCAATACTCTTTGAAATTGCAAAAACACTATTTGAGTCTTAAATAAATTTCCAGTAAGCTTAACCTTGTAGACAACAATGCAATCATTCATATCAGCTGATTGGCAATGAAGTAAAGAAATCAGTGATGCCAAAATATGACATAGTTGGGCCTATTAAACATCGCCTCTAGGTCCTAGTAATTTGAGTTGAGTTGAAAAAAACATAATGTATATAGTTAATTTCTGAAAGAGAGTAGCACACCTTAGAACCAATGTCAGGTTTAAGATGCACTGATGTAATTGTTTGTGATCCCACAATCCTCGAAGATAAGTAAGTGTTGCCAATAGCGAAATTCGAATGTCAATTCCCGCAGTTAATTCCAGGTATAACAATCTTGTTTCTTGTTTTCAATACAATTATCTTAAAAAAGCAATCGTATCGTTTTGTTTAAATGATATTATAAGTATTTGCACCCCGCTAAGAATTTGCAATCACTGCGTTACTAGACAAATTAATTACATTTCAAAGAGATTCGCTCGGTTAATGACTGCTTGTTGATTGCTGTAATGAGTTGTTTACCATATAGATTTACCCGACACTAAACTTACGACAGAGAATTAAACTTTAATTGCAAATTTTAATTGGTATAAATGTGAAGCGGCGAAGGAAGGAGTAATAAGGTACAAAAAGGTGACGCAGAAAAAAGTGAGACGAAAAAGTAGTCGAATCCCTTGGCACAAAACAGCGCAATTTAAAATTATAATATGAAAATTACTAATTTAAAGTGATTACTTCAGCTTAGATGCTGTGATTAGGCGCAGTTTTGCTTCCTGTAATTTGATATTACACTGCGAATTATTAGTTAAGAATCTGACGACATAATGGTGCGGAACAAGATTTGAATATAAAACAGACGAGAAGCTCACACTAACCTTAACCAAGCATTATGATGAAACAGGTGTAAATATATAAATTAGATTTTGGGAAATTACATGTTTTTAAGTTTTTTAACGGATATTGCTTCATTGTTTATGTTGAAGAGTTTGAACGGTTTCTATGATTGCTTAGTGTTATAATAGTTACTATTTTGGACTTTGATGCTTATAAGTGTAGAGCTGACTTAGCGATAAGAACGATGGGATTGGTTCTCAATATAAAAACAAATCGCTCCTAAACGAGATTCAAACTAGGGTGCCTAGTGCCTATGCAAAATGCATGTGGTGTATGAATAGGAAAAAAACTAAATAATGCCTATTATATACTTAGCTAAGCGTTTTCATACACGTATTATTTAGTTTCTATAAACAATCAAAAATGTAAAGAAATGCATAACCCAACAATATTTACGACTCATCTTTGACTATTGAACATGAAATTTAAACTAATATTTCTTGACCAAGAGGAGAATCACATGCAGAAAATGTTTCAGGTTTTCACTCACTAAATGGTCTTGGAAATTAGATTTTTAAGGTGCAATGGCTAGTGAGTAGGCTATAGATATTTCCGGGCAATAAAACAGCAAGTTCTTGGAACAGTCAAATTTACAAAAAAGGCGAACAAAATTTTAAAATGGATAGAATAATGATCGACCACCACTGGCCACTTTGGTTTGTACTGTACATTAATCTTTAAGGGGGTCCAAGATTTTCTTAACCTGAAGACTGATTTGGAATTTGGATGAAACTTCTGTTTTGCCACCCAGTAATGAGCAATACCCGCTGTATGTTTCCCATAGTCGCCATTAGGTCAGGGTGTCAGACCTCCGGGCGGCGTTCACATCACTATACCAATTAGTCCAGACCTGTGTATAGTGTATAGTGTATAATGTAAAGAGTGGTAGAGGTCACAATATGACTGTGGTTATCCCGTGTATCCCGCAGGTGTGGGCGGCAACAGCTGTTGACCTGCCACACTCCCGCTGTTCCCACAGGACCAGAGACTGACATCCTGGAATGCTTTACCGACATTGAAGACTCTCAGAGTAAAAAATGAGATTATCGATGTAAGTTTACTAAAATAAATCAAATACATACACGTAACTTTATAATATCTGACGACACTGTAAAATGTCACATGTAAAATACATGTTGGGACTAATAATTTGTTTACTATAAATGAGAAAAACCAGTTAGTATCCATAACAGAGAACCAATGTAAATTATATTCTCTTATTACCAATTGAGATGGGGACGCCCCCTAGGTGTGTATTTCGACCCAAATATGAGTGTAGAATGAAGTGGGGTGCCTTTTGTAGCTTTGTTACCGACTAAGACCAGCTGTTTCATTTACCAGGACCTATTGAAAGCCCAATGATCATGGACAGCTGGGTCCAGTTGCGAACCATCAGGGAGCTACTACTCAAAATCGAACCGGCGACCTTT